TGGATGAAGCTTGAAAAAATGCAGAACATCTCTGAAGTATTTTGAGTCGGGTGGTGAAAGACCCCGGTTCATATGATCAGTAAAGATGATGACTTCACCATCCTTGGGCTGAGGTTTTTCTTCGGCCGGGTCAGGGGCGCGATAAGACATAATGCTTTTCTCCGACAAATACCCAATGGTAACAAAATCCTTCAGAGTGGCGTCAGTGACTGTGGAAGGGACCCAGTTGCAAACTGTCGTCGTCTTTGGCGGCATGGTGAGAGGACAAGCTAAAAAGGAATTAATTTACCGGTTTAAGTTAAATGGTGGAATCACAGGTTAATGTCTGCAATACAGATGGCGTGATGGCGGCTTAAGTAAGGGCTAATGATATATGAAGGAAAAATGAGCCGGCATGATAAGCCGACATGACTAAAGGTATTCAAAGGTTGCCAGCGACAAAAAATTGGCTGAGTACTGAGATAAACAAGTTTCACAAGTTGTTGCTACTATTTTGGATCAAGATTGTTCAAAAAAGGAAAATAAATCTAGACCTAAAAAACCAGTACAGAGGAGTTCATCAGTTCGAAGGAGGCCTTTGTACAAGAAAAGAGGATCTACTAGCATCTGAAATGGATGCAAAACAGCTACCACATGAGTTTTATACTTCTTTTAGATCAAAAGGGGATGCAGTAGAGAAACTACAAAGAATCCCTGATGAACATCGAAGAGCATAGAAGAACTTGCAAACCTTAATGCGGATCTAAGGTGCGGAAAGGCAAAAACTTACGGACGCGGTTCTACTATGGAGGGTCACCGCCGTTCTCGGGACAAGCTAAGGTTGATGTAGCGGCCAAGATTGAGGACGATGGTGAGCGCTGCGGCGGCGGCGGAGCTCGAGCGACAGAGGGGTTGCGAGAGAAGGAAGAAGAAGAATGAGGAAGACCACCCATGCCTATTTATAAGGAGATAGATGAACAGGCAAGCGCGAAAAACGAGGAAGGCTAAAATGAGGAATATCCAGCTAATTAGACGCCTCGATTTTCGGAAGGCATTTAAGATAAGGATCCGTTAAGATGACGTCGTGGCGGGTTTACAAATTTTCTGACGGTGACGTCATGGCGGTTTATAAAGCTTTTACAAGTAGTGGAAGATGGATTTCTTCTAAGTGTTGAAGATTGACATGAACAAAGTTCAAATCAACCTGGGGCCTAATGTTGGGGATATGACTACCAGATATGATCCGCCCAGGAGGGGCCGGATCAACCACAATGGCGGGTTACTTAAGTGAAGCCCGAAGAGTATACAGGGTGATGGTTTACGATAAGGCTTATAATAGGCCCAAGCCCAGAGGTGGCTTAAGGCCCGTAAGTATAAACCGCCATGTATGAATACGACTTGTAAAGTAAGGCATGTAAGAGATGTCACCGAGCCGGACACGTTGTATGAGCCGGTCGGGACTCTGTAGGCCGCAGGGCGTCAACCCGTGTATATAAGGGGACGACCCGACGGTGGCTTAGGGCACGAAACAACAGATCGAGAGCCAAGCTAGTGTATTTGCTCCTTGGTCATCGAAACCTAGCAATACCACATCAACTGGACTAGGCTTTACCTTCACCGCAAGGGGCCGAACCAGTATAAACCTCTCCGTGTCTTTTGTCCTGATTAACCCATTTAAACTTCCTAGTTGCGATGGCTCCACGACTAAGTCCTTTCACTAGGACATCTGCCGTGCCAATTCCACGACAAGATGGAAGCAAACGTTTGGTGTACGTAGAGTCGTATCAGTGGCAGATAGGACTTGAGAGAATATTTATCTTACCTTTAGCTCCTTGTGGGTTTGACACTCCATACTTATCACATCCATCTTTGGAAATTGCTACGATGATTCCTTGCACTTGGGGATTATGCACATTTGTAAGGCTAAACTTGATACCTCGCATATTGCACATGATTTTGGATGTGATGAACTAGTATGATGATCATCTAGTGATGTATATATACGATGGTGAAATAGATATGAACTAGTGATGACGAACTTATCAATATTTGTCCTATGATTTTGTTTGAGGTACTGCGAGCCCTCTGGCGCAGAACAGATCCCGTAAACACGTCCCGTAAAACATTTACGGGACGGGTTTACACGATCTGTTACAACGAAGGGCTCATGGTACCCAGGGCCGGTCCTGAGATTTCGGGGGTCCGAGGCGAAACTATAACCCGGGGCCCTCTTAATATATGCATCAACTTATAACCCCAAACTCATAAATCTGAGTAATATCTGTCTCTAAATTGTATCCCGACAATCAATTATCAATGGTCATATTGCAACAACAAAGAGGCAAAATTGATCATTTTGCTAAAATAAATATTTGTCAATGGTCATGGCAAAACGCAGGCATATGCTATGAAAGTAGTACCTTCTATGATTCTCCCTAATCGGCTAATAATATCTAATCGGCTAATAATTTTTCTTCCAGGGATCAACCAGAAGGATTAAAGGGCAACCCCAACTCATAAATCTAACTAATATCTGCTGCTAAACTGTCTACAATCAATCAATTGTCAGTGACCATATCGCAACAACAAAGAAATAAATATTGGTTGTTTTCTTTAGAGAAAATGCATAGAGCCTGGCTTCAAATTAATGAAGACATCCACCGGCTAGGATACAACAGTGCTGATACAAAGGCGAAAGCTTGAAGAAAAACCGAAAGATAACAGGCGGCGTGCACACACATTACAGAGCAAAGCTGAGCAATGGCGAGCAGGGCACCTCCACAGCGAAAATAAGATCAAGCCCCCGGAGAACTCTACGCAAGCTAGAACAACCGAGCAACTGCAAGCAGTAGACTGCACAAGTGAATGCCGAGAGGAACCAGGCTGCGTGAAGAAAAACATGGCTTCAGATCTAGCCGCCCCAAGCCTTGCTGGAGGGGAGATCCAATCGCCCCTACGCCCGAACCGTGCCGCAACACGCGGACGCAGTCCACCGACCGGCTGCCCAGAGCCGAACAAGATGAAGAGTCGCTGAAGGATTGCAGGGGAACCGCCTTGTCACCACCATAACCGCCGTCCCGGAGAGCAGAGGAACACCGCCGCCACCAAACACCTTGCCACGGGACCACAACCTCACCCTCCCTTGAACGACACCTCCAAGGAGGACCGAAACGCCACAACATGGCATGCAGAACGTAAGGCATATGCTATTAGAGTCATACCTTCTCCGATTCTCTATAGTGGGCTCGTTATATTTCCTCCGGTCATGAACGGTAAGGATCAAAGGGCAACGCCCTGGGAACCCATTGCGGTGGCAGTGAACGTGATATTGATGCGGTTCCCTCTCGAGGTGGAGGGCATGTGAATCTGCAATGGGGTGTCTCTCACAGGGAGCGGTGGCATGGCCTCTTGGGGATAGGTATTCGATTGGTGACGCCCCGAGAAACGAGGCGGCGGCGCATGCATACTGGAGCAAGAATCAAGCGTCTCACCTCATAGGTTTGGGTAGTTTTTTTCTTTAAGACGTAGGGTTTGATGAGCGATCCATCGATCGCGCCATGATACTAGGTCTGCTTCCGCCTGCGTATAATGTATTTGGATGATGCCCTTCCCTTGACCAGCGCCGCTTCTGCTTGCATAGGAAGCCCTTCCCTCATAATATTACAGATGCACAACACCTAGACCTAGGCCCTCCGGGCTTTGGGGGGCCGGGGCAGCCGCCCCCTCGGGGCCGGGCCTGGTTGTATCGTAAAAAAGTTATGTATGCGCTCTTAAATGAGTTTTGCGGGACAGTTGATTGCGGGATCTGTATAGAGATGCTCTAAACCTCCCGGTCAAACACCTCCACCAGAACGGGTCCCGGCAGACGGTCCACGGCGCCTGATGGTCCTGCATCTGCAGCCTAATTATCCATTCCATTCTCTGTCACCGACCGTCAGACTGAGCAAAACAATTGCATTACGGCCGCGGACGCGGTCAAAGCAACATAAGTTACTACAGCAGAAAGCGCTGTCACCTGCCCCTTGGCACTGGCATCGCCGTCGCTCCAGCCTCCCGTGATTAGGATTAATAAATAGTTACAGTATAATCGAAGGTCCAGACCGTGACTAACCAGTTAATCGCGACACACTGTACGTACAGCACATTTTCCCCCGTTCCGCGGTAGAAAATGATTGGTGTGAACGGACGGCGTTCCAAGACGGCGGCGTCGGGGGCTACAACTCCACACGAGAGAGACTGGGGCCCGAGCTTTTTCTTTCTTCTTTTTCTTTGAGACAATGGCCGGCCCGAGCATGTTAGGTGGAGTTTCTTGCACGGAGAAGTTCGCGCATGCTCTAAATATCTGGGAAATTTGCCATGCCACACACACAGCCCTGAAGTGTGGAACCAACCACCGAATCAAACCCAGTACACGTAAAATTCTGGCCTCTGTATTCACCAGAACTTCCCTCCATTGGTGGGTCGACGACGGTACTCTACAGACGAGTTTCTACCACGCACGCACTTTGCGAGGAGCAGCAGCGCAGCACCCATAGATACTCCTCGTTCGTTGTGTACCTATCTATGTACTAGTAGACTATACTGCCAGCACGACGGCCGTAAAATTCGTGGGGCAAATCCCAACGCAGCGGGCACAGGCACATGACACACGCAGAGCACCACTCGCACTCACCTCGCAGAGGAGGGCGCAGTTCACACTCACCATCCTCAAAAGCCGAGCCCGCCAAGAGGGAAAGTGGGCCCGGCCCGGCCCGGACACCACCAGTAGAATCTGGCCAATCCAGTCGCAATAAAGCGGACGGGGGTCGCCGTACCCTCCCCGTGAGCCCGCCCAGACGACCCCACACGACAGAGAAAGCTCAGCTCAGCACACTCCACGCCCAGCACCCTCTCCCAGTCCCATACTGTAGCACCCCACCTCACCATTAAAGAAACGAGCTAGGCCAAGTGGAGAGAGAGGAGAGGGGACGGAGAGAGAGCAGCGGAGCAGAGCAGAGCAGCGCCGGAGCAGGGGAGCTAGCATGACGTCGGGGGCGGCCCGGGCGGCGGCGGCGGCGGAGGCGGAGGCCGGGCTGGGGCGGACGCCCACGTGGAAGGAGCGGGAGAACAACAAGCGCCGCGAGCGCCGGCGCCGGGCCATCGCCGCCAAGATCTTCACCGGCCTCCGCGCGCTCGGCAACTACAAGCTGCCCAAGCACTGCGACAACAACGAGGTGCTCAAGGAGCTCTGCCGCGAGGCCGGCTGGGTCGTGGAGGACGACGGCACCACCTACCGCAAGGTGAGCGCGAGATAGACCTCGTTTCTTGGTCTCGGGATCGAGATCGCCCGCTCCCCTCCCATGTTTCTTCTCCCCCTCCGTTTCCTGGATCTAGCTAGGCTTGCTTGGATGTGTGGATCTGATTGTGTGGTTCGATTTATGGCAGGGATACAAGCCGCCGTCGTCCGGGCCGTTCGGTGGGGTCTCGTCGGCGGGCATGAGCCCCTGCTCGTCCTCGCAGCTGCTCAGCGCGCCCTCGTCGTCGTTCCCGAGCCCGGTGCCTTCCTACCACGCCAGCCCGGCGTCGTCGAGCTTCCCGAGCCCCACGCGCCTCGACAACCCGAGCCCCGCCTGCCTCCTCCCGTTCCTCCGTGGCCTCCCCAACCTGCCCCCGCTCCGGGTCTCCAACAGCGCGCCGGTGACGCCGCCGCTCTCTTCGCCGACGGCGTCGCGGCCGCCCAAGATCCTGAAGCCGGACTGGGAGGTGGACCCGTTCCGGCACCCGTTCTTCGCCCTCTCCGCGCCGGCTAGCCCCACCCGTGGCCGCCGGCACGAGCACCCGGACACGATACCGGAGTGCGACGAGTCAGACGTCTCCACGGTGGACTCTGGCCGGTGGATCAGCTTCCAGATGGCCACCACGGCGCCGACCTCGCCCGCGTACAACCTCGTCAACCTAGGCGCCTCCAGCTCCAACTCCATGGAGATGGAGGGAATGGCGGGGGAGCGGGGCCGAAGCGGTCCGGAGTTCGAGTTCGACAAGGGGAGGGTGACGCCGTGGGAAGGGGAGAGGATCCACGAGGTCGCCGCCGAGGAGCTTGAGCTCACGCTCGGCGTCGGCTCGAAATGACGGCCATACGCGGAGCATTGCACTGGCACTCACAGATAACAGCCAGCACTCACAACTTGCCGGCCAGTGATCGAAAAAATGGTTTCTTGGATGAACCTCGAGTCCTCGTCAAAAGCACAAGCTAAATCGTGGTTGCTGTTGGATCGGCCATTGCTGCTGCGATGTGGGCAATTCGTTCATTCTAGGTTTAGGGGGTGGATGCATCTGTTGTTCGATTCCTAGGACAAGAGAAAAGGAATCAGAAACAATCGTTCATGCCAATCGGCTGGCCACGGATTGTTTCATTATTCATTCATGGATGTACGTAGCTAGTAGCTGGGTTCCTCTTTTTCCTCTTCTTCTTTCTCTTTGTGTTCTTGCCATGCATGTGTATGTCCTCAAAATGTGTGTGAGCTCATGTGGGGGAAAGTCCAGTGGAGTAAAAAGGTGGATGGAGCTGAGCTTTATGCCGTGACCTGAATTAATCCCTCTTTGACGCAGCACGTAAACCAGTGCGTACATGGAGCTACCAGCAAGTTCATCTCTTCCACTTTTGACAGCGGGAGCATGCGTCGACCCGGCCACTAGCATGCAGATTCCCCAGCGTCACCGTCGGCACGCGAGCGATGGCATGGCATGGCATGTCTGCGGCGAGCACGAGGATTTGTCCGATCGGAGACCACTGTCGTTGTTGTACTCTGAATTCGGCCGAAAAAACGTTGGAAAGAACGTGGCATGTATCTGTAGAAGAGTAGCTCTATATCTGTATATCCTCTTTCAGAAATCTTCAGCCCTGGGCTGGCCTAGTTGCCTAGTTGGTGCACGCCAGGCGGCGGATGAGTCCAAAACTCCAATTAACACTCTGTATGTGGTACGGAAAATGCGCCGGTGGCGTCGCACAGTCGCAGAATCGGCACGCTCGTCCGCTTTCCAGGGCCCCGACGGCGCCCGGAAACTGAAGCCCGTCGGATCCCCGATCGGGCTGTGGTTGCCCGGCTCCAATCCTACAGTTTCTTCGTGCGATGGTGCGTGACGGGGCAACCACTCCGGCGGGCCGTGCGCCGGCCGAGCCGGGCGCGTGGGGTCCTCCCCGCCGCGCATGTGCGTGTGTCCGGCGAGCGATCGCGCGTCGGCGTCGCGCAGCTGGCGGTGCACGTACGGGGTGAGGTTTGTCCCTGTTGGATTTCGGCGGGCACCGACCGGTGGGTGGTGGAGCCTTCTCTTTTCTAATCTAATCAGATGCTCCACCACTCGTGCACCGCGGCGACGACCGAACCACCGCTTGCCGTTCGTTAGCTGGGCGTGGCTGTGGCTGTGGCTGTGTGTGACAAGAATCCGGCTGTGATGTAGGAGTAGTATTGTACTAGTAGCTACCGCTCCGCGACCACGTACTACGTTCCGCGGCGGTATGCGGGTCGCTTTCATGGCGTATTTTCGTGTTGGTCGTCGGTCTAGCGCACGCCGAGCTCGTGCCGTGACCGCGCTAACTGCCGTCATTTTGTCAAAGTGTCTTTTGAAACTATGCTGACTTAGTAGTATGGGTAAAACCAACATCGAGTACTCCCTAAGACATTTTAAAGAAGAAACACCCATATAATCCATAATTCGTACTATTTCGGTGACCGGTACTAAACCAATCAAATATATTCATAATACGGTGACCGCTTCAATTCGCACAATAACCACAACAATAACTGTGGAACGGAGGGAGTACTAATTTAGCACTTGGCCGTCACTCTGGCCAGAACACGAGACATGATTCGCCAGACTTACCCATCTACTTTCTTACATATTGCTCTCTCCAATTCACCATGCGAGGATAGTTTGTTTGTATAAGATGTAGCTTTTTAACAGTCTACATTTTTTTCTAAGAAACGCAGTATTTAGACGCAGGCATTTACATACACACATACACACATTTCTAGCTAAGAGCACATGCATATCCTGCCTCTTTCAGGAGCTTTAAGATATGTAGACATATTTTAAGATTGACGGAGTCGCACGTGCACCTTGTGGTTGATTAGCACACCAACCACTAAGAGGATAGTACAATAAAACTGATATTAATCCGAAATATGATTGTCCATATCAAATCTAGGACTTAAACCATGGACGGAGCTACAAGGGGACATGGATGTACATATGTACACCCATTAATTCTGATAAAAAAGCATGTACTAGGTTAATAAAACACATATACATGAAAAAATACCTAGGAAATCTTGATCTTTGTACACCCATTTCGGTGAACCTGGCTCCGCCACTGACTTAAATTCAATAGTTTTTTTATAGCAGTACTTAAACTCAGACACAAGGCAATACTATAGACTTGTTTAGGCCTCTCCCAATGCTCCATCTTGTACAGGTGCTAAGGCTGCCATGTAGACAAAAAAGATGATGTGGCAAGGTAATTAAGAGGAGAGAGATGGGTGTGGTGACCCCAGGAAGAAACAATGCCAAGCGCGGGAACCTAGGAAAAACACTTAAATGAAAGAAGCCCCACCAATGCATGAACAACTTTAGTTGCTAAATCATTAAATGAAGGATGCTTAGCAACAACAAGCTAAGCACCTTTGCATTGGGGACTTTAGTTTCTTAGATTTTTAATGTGCTTAGCACCTCATCTTAGCACTAGTGCATTGGAGGAGGTCTTAGATGTGCGGACGAGGCTATCCTTGGATGCCCATGATCCGTAGTTATATGGGCCTTGAGCACCACATGGGGAAGCACATCAACAACATCGAAATTACTAGTTGAGGAGTACTCGTTGCAAAGATCACTCCAACTCCCCATGTTGCGACAAGTGGCACACATGCAGCGCGTCACTTGTCGCAACCTGAAAGTTTTCCTTTTTTCGTAGATCCGTTTATTTAACATGTTTTATCTCTCAAACAGTGCGTCAAAATCTCAAACCATTTTTACCGTTGGATTCCTTGCGTCGGTATTTTCAAAACTAGATCCCATGTTGACAGATTTTGATGAACTATTTTCACGAAAAAAATCGGAAAAAAAAACCGAAACCGAACCGGGAGCACAAGTTTTTCCTTTTCCGAAAGAGGCACGCCCGTGCCTCTCACAAAATCACAACCGTGCCTCTCGCGGAAGCAAAACCGTGATTCTCGCGGAAGAAAAGAAGAAGAGAAAACACGTTTTTTTTTCGTTTTCGAGGAGGCACGACTGTGACTCTTGCGAAAGCACACCAGTGCCTCTCGCGGAAGCAAAACTTTGACTCTCGCGAAAGAAAGAAAACACATTTTTTTTTGTTTCCGAGGAGGCACGGCCGTGACTCTCGTAAAAGCACAACCGTGCCTCTCGCGGAAGCAAAACCGTGACTCCCAAAAGATAAAAATGCGTTTTTTTCCATTTCCGAGAGGCACGGCCGTGACTCTCGTGAAAGCACAACCGTGCTTCTCGCGGAAGCAAAACCGTGACTCTCGCGAAAGGAAAAAACAGAAAACGCGTTTTTTCCGTTTCCGAGAGGCACGGCCGTGACTCTCGCGAAAGCACAACCGTGCCTCTCGCGGAAGCAAAATCGCGACTCTCACGAAAAGAAAAAACAGAAAATGTGTTTTTTTCGTATCCGAGAGGCACGGCCGTGACTCTCGTGAAAGGAAAACAAAACGCGTTTTTTCACGCAAAAAAATGCTAAGGAAGGTCGGTGGAAAACCAAAACGTCAAAAAAACCCGTTTAAATAGTCGAAAACGTGTGCGGAAAAATAAAAAAATAAAATTCAAAAGAAACACCCAGAACGTGACACGTGACAAATGATTGAGAGCGCGCCAAGTAACGCTGATCGCTGCAAAGCTCCCGAAGGAGCGCTCCTTAACTAGTGGCTCCCCAACAACATGAGCAATTAAATCACGGTTCCTATATGTTGCGTAGGCTGCGTCCGCGCGCTACGTCCTTTGTATGGGCCGACCCATTATGGTCAATTCCCCATTGGTTTTTGAAGGTTCCAGAACCTTCCCTAAACCATTTTTTCTTTCATTTTTTGCATGTGTTTCCCTTGTTTTCTCCTTTTGTCTTCCTTTTCTTTTTTCCTTTTCCTTCTTTCCTTTTTTTTTTCTTTTTCATTTCATAAACAATTTTTAAAATGGTGAACATTTTTTAAACCCATTAATATTTTTTGAATTCGTGATGTTTTGCAATTAACCAACAATTTTTGAACACAAATATATTTTTAAGATTTGTGAACATTTTTTGTAGAAAATTATTTAACTTTTTAAAAACTTGCATACCTCAAATTTATGAATATTTTTTAATTTAGGAACTTTTTTGAATTCATGAATATTCTTTTTAATTCTTTATCCTTTTTTTGAAATTTATGAACCATTTTTGAAATCTATGGTGAGGATTGTTCTCGAGAGCATACACCTGGGGCACTAACCCATTGACTTGCTCGGAGATCCTGTTGGTGGAGTTCAGAAGACGAGTTATGTGTTCAGTCGATGTTCAGAGAGTGATGTTGCCTGTGACTTTAGAAATTCATCCACCTTGCCCACCAAGGCGTCGATCTGCTTTGTGTTGTTGGTGGAGGCGAGGGCGTTGCCCTTGGTGATTGTCGCCACGGCTGCTAGCAACGCCTGCAGATACTGGAGCGTCATCTCCACGGACGCCACCCTTGTCCGTTAGCGTCGGATTGCTCAACTTTGCCATCCCGACCGATTCGGTATCAACTCAACCATGCACCGGTACAATGAAGTGTTTTGCGCGAACTCACTTGAGTGAATTCGCACCGATCGTGACGATTTACAAGGATTCCAAATGTAAAACGTAGGATTTGGGGGGAACTGGCTCAACCCTCTATGTGATGGCCTATCACATATATATATATATAATGATAACATAGAAGTCCTATACCAATACGGTATGGATTACACAGTTGGGCTACAATACAAGTCTAACACCCTCCCTCAATCTCAACTCACTCCTGAAGCATCTAGAAGGTTGAGATTGCGTTTACAGACCTCAAACATGTGAGAAAGTAGAGGCTTGGTGAAGATGTCTGCAAGTTGATCTT